TGTGTTTGGGGTCTGAACGGCAAAGGGGGCTGTTTTGGTGTTGTATTTGGGGGTGGCGTGTTTGGGGAGGGGGGTTGGAAATGCTCTATGAAAAAAACATGGGGTTTTCTTATACATCATCAGAGCTGATGATGCCCCATCGGACCATCAGCTTGTAGCTTGCCATTAGCTGCAAGTGAAAAACCGAATCGGGCGTTTTTTCGGCTGCGTCCCCAGCCTCTCTCCGGGGTCTGCTTGCAGGCCTGCAGTGAGGAGGCCAGCTTCCTGCATCTGGCGGAGGAGCGGCTGGAGGCGCGGCTTGGGGCCAGCGAGCAAGAAGGAGCTGGGTGTGCTGCCGAGGCCAAGCGCCAAAGAATTGACAGTTTTCTATATCGGGCTGACTGTGAGACAGAGACAAACTGCATTGAGTGCCGCGGAGTTTCGGAGCGGCGCGAAGATTCGTCGGTGTCCTCATGGAGTCATGGAGCAATTTCGGGCGAAGGCTTTGAGGCGATAGGAGCCACTGGGAGAAACTCCCGATTGGCCGGCTTCGGCCATGGCCTGGCTGTCTGGGATGGAGATGGTCGATGGGGGGAATGGCGTGGGGCCCCTTGCGAGTTCCTGGAGATGAGAATCAAGGACCACGGGCAGGACCAGACTCACGAGATGCTGGAAGGCATGAGATGGATGAATAAGCAGCCAGCAGCGCGCGAGATTGAGGCCGCCTGTGGCTGTTCAGAGTCCGAGTGTGGAGATCTCAAGCTCCGATTCTGTACAGCCAAGGCCAAGCGGAAAGATGCCCGGGCAAGAAGCTAAAGGACGCGTTGAGGAACAACGCCACTGACCTGCACTGCTGAAGCACTGCACATGGGGTGTGCTAGAACTGTTTGAAGGGAAGTCAGCAAGAAACCAACCAACCAGTTGTTTCTTGTATCCACACGTTCCAAGCTTTCTGAGGCGATCCTTGTCGCACAGATCAATCCTTGAGCTGCAAAGTTCCAAGATCTTGGGTGGGTGTTGTTCATGTTTGGGGGTTGTGGGAACCTGGTTGATGTTTGCCAGATCTTACAACCACCTTGCGCCTCGATAGTGGGACCTTCCCTCCAAGCAAGAGGCCCGGGCCAAGTGTCTGTCAGAACCCTACAGGTTGATTGGGGATGGTCCCAACCACCGAACAAGCGCATGTTTTTAGGGTTTGACAAACCGGCGGAAGATAGTGTTCAAAAACACACACGCACACAACACACACGCACACGCACACCCGCACCCGCACACGCACACGCACACGCACACGCACACGCGCACACACACACACACACACAATACTGGGCTGTTCCCAGATCCCCTGCTGAACGTCTAGCTTTTGCCGGCGGTTTCACCTAGCCTCCCGGATTCGGGACCCGTCAGTGCGGCCAGGTTGGAGCGCAGGAGGAGATGGGCGCAGGTTTTATTAAATTTGTCTCGATCGTAAGTTCAACTTGTCTGCAAAAAGCTAGCAACAGAAATCCTGCAGTCGGTTGGTGGTTTATCTCAGTATTCACAGGGTTTCATCCATCCCAACTGGTGCGAAGTGGATTATCTCCTTCTGCAGTGCCACGGAGGTTCTCCGAATTTCCGCCATTTGCACCAGCATGGTTGTTTCAAATTGCGTCCTGATTTTGGACAGCAGCCCGACCCATCGTTGGTAAATCGGATTAGAGAATCCTTTTACTTTTTACTGCAAGAGGGATGAAGTAGTCATGGGAAATGGGAAGAAACCACTTTGGTATCACTGAGGAAAGAGCCATTTTTTACATCTATGTTCACACCAGACTCTTTTCCACTTTCTGCAATCAGATGGGTCCCGGAACATATGGGCGTGTCCCACATAGGGGGACCTCAACAAATGCTGGGATTCCCTTTGGACCCCCATTAAAACATATGAAGGGGGGTCCCCAGTTCTTTGCGCACCCCTGCTTTTAGGTCACTTGTGTTGAAGAACTGAAAGGGCAGCTAGGTTGAATGAACAAAACCACTGGTTGGTTAATTGGGAGATTTCAGCTTCATTTGGGAGGCGCCTCCCAACAATCTACCAGCTGGTCATTTCCCAGGTAGACATCAGCTTGCAGTTGAAGCCATCTCCCACGAATTGATGGGCTCGTGGATCCCAGCTTCTTGGTCGGGATTCATGTGGAGGTGTTTGTTTCGTTTCTGAGGGCAATTTCGGAACGGCCCTCCCCTCGAGGCTTCCAGAACGCTGTCGAGATTCGGCAGGATTCCGGGACCACAAGCACACTTTTTACATCAGAGCCGAGTTCCATTCAACCTCGCAGGAGGCCAGCGGCCCCCAAACGAGCCTGCTCGGCCGGCTGCGGCGATGGTTGACCGGAGTCAGGAGTCGATCGGTTTGGGTTTCTGGGGCCTGGGCGCATGTTCATATAGTTGATTATTTTTCAGTTAAAAACGTTTGAAGCTCGGTTAGGGCGTACCTTTGGACATCTTTTGGCCCGTCTTTGGTTGAACACAAAGTGACCTTGTGAGCGTGCAGAACCCCCGTTTTAAGCAGCTTCCTGCAACACAAACCCTGTGCACTCGTGTCGGCAGCCTGGTGCTTCAACATGGCCAGCACCTGAATGTGGGAAGATCCTCAGGCTGGACCGGGCTCCTTCCAAGGCAAACCGTTATCCAAGAGGGGCCATCCAAGGTTACCTTAGAATTGCTTGTCTGGAATCACTGGGAGGTGGATTCAAAGCAAATCTGTTCGTTTTGTCCTTGGATGTTTGCAAGCAGCATGCAGCGGTTCAATATGAGGAGACTGTGGGACAACAGGTCGCCCATATTCTGAAATTCATTTCGATGCGCTCACGTTTTGAGGCCTGTCCCAGCAACATTTGCCATCGTCCGTGATTTTGGGGCGACGGGCAGTTTCGAGCTATGCTCACGACTCAAGGAGATCAAGTACGCTGGTATTCAACAACAGGAGCATGGACATAGCAATGATACCATTTCTAAGGTCTACATACCGATGCTCGTCTTTGGCCGGTCATGACCTCTCACTGGGCTTTGCCGCAGCTGCTTGAGGCCAGATTTGAGTTTGGCGCCAAGGGACTATGGCGACGACTTCTCAGGTTTGCTCCTTTCTTCGTTTGACCATTGGGGAGATACCCCTCTGAACCCTGGTTTTCTTGGTGACTCTCAACCATCCGATTCCTTAACTTTTTAAATTTTATTAGTTTAGTGATAATTTCCATTCAACCCACAAATTATTTTTTAGCGGGGGATCCAAAAACGCGCAGCCCAGTTTTGTCTTGGGCTTCGCTTGGAGCAGCGCCAGGATCCACCGCGAGGGCGCGACCAACGCGCCGTGGGACTGCCAGGTGGATGAGCCTTGGCCGCGTCTTTTTTTGGCACCTGTGAACCGCAGGATTTTGGCTTGGGTGCTCATCCAACTTAGTGGGTGGACCCAGTGGGTGTGTGTCTTTTTTTTTTGGTGGTTGTAAAGGGAGGCCAAAAGGAAAACCGTATGATTGGGGGCCCCTGAAAAAAAAAATAAACTGTAGAGGGTGGGAGTGGGTGGCTTTGGTGTCTTGGGGGGCCTCCGTGCGTCCAGCGGTTCTTTGCGCACTTGTTCCTTGACGTGTAGTTGGAGCTCCTCTTTGCAAGGAATGTCACAAGGAAGGAAGACGCCGATGTTCGGGGGAGAATTTGCAGGAGCCATTTGTGGATATTGACCGTGCAAGCAGGTTGTCCAGATTTGAGGCAGGTTTCTGCCACAATTACATGTTCTGCTTGTTTGTTTGTTTGTTTGTTTGTTTGTTGGTTGGTTGGTTGGTTGTTTGTTTGCTTGTTTGTTTGTTGGTTGGCTTGTTGACTTGACTTGTTTGTCTTGTCTTGACTTGTTTCTTTGTTCGGGGGGGATCTCAATGATTAGGTAACCCTTAGTCGGTCTGGTTCTTGTAGCTCGGGTAAATGGACACCACCCCCAAGCACCGGGCTCCAAGCCACCCTTTTGGAGGGACAGTGACCTCCCCTTTGTTGCATTTTGCTTGGATGTTAGGACTTTGACTTTTGGCCAACTAATGGGTTTTCCGAATTAAACCACTAAAGGTTAAAACCTTTTAGCAGGGAGCAGAGTTCGCCACCGAGTCCCCGTTTTTCCCTCCACCACAGGTCCTGTTGCGGCGGGAGGGGAGGCAGCTCCAGCTGCCGATGTTGCGCGAAGCGCTGGAGGCGGTGCTGAGGCAGCAGCCCATGCTGCGCCTCGCTGTCGGAGAATCGGACCCCCCCCAAAACATGGCTTCGGTTTCCCTTTTTGGATTCCCTGTAAACCAGCCCCCAAAAGGGTACT